CAGGATCTTTATTGCTTAATCCAGAGACCATAGCAAAATAAAAATAAAATTAATACATTATATAAGTGCAATTACACACAAATATTTTCCAAATACTTGGATCTACATATAGAGGTTCTAACTGCAAATATCTCAACTCTCTTTATTATGTGTAATTTGGGTGTTTGTAATAAAAAGCTCAGTTTCTCTTAGACACTCCTGCTTTTCACTTTCTTTTTAAAAAAGGCTGTAGATATTTTTCTCTTATATCAGTGTATAAGGAGCAATCAAGCACATAATGAGCCAAATCCTCAAGAACTGGATTGCCACATACACAGAGGCTATCATCTATGGGAATACCTTGAAACCTACCCCCAACTGGTAAATAATTTCAAATTTCCCTACACAAAACATTTTTGGAATCCTGTCATCCTGTAAGGTTTCTGTTGGCCACAGAAGAAATGTAAAACCATGATAACTGCTCGCACAATTCCTTCTCTTTCAGCATCACCTAGTAAATTAAATACATTTGTTGTATTTAGATTATTAAATACAGTAGGATCCCTCCATGTATGGGATCAGGATCCGCTGATTCACTTATCTGCTAGCTGAAAATACTAAATAAAATCCCCAAGAAATATCTATTTATATGTACTTTAAGGGTGTATTTATCAGAATATGTGACTTCACTTATCTGCTAGCTAAAAATACTAAATAAAACCCCCAAGAAATACCTATTTATATGTACTTTCAGGGTGTATTTATCAGAACATGTGACCAGAGGAAGCCAGAGCCCATGCAATGTATAGTGTCCAATACTTCTATGCTTTCTGGAATCCATAGGGGGGATTTGGAAGTGATCCTCTGTGGGCAATGTGGTCATAAAAGGTAAAGGTAAAGGTTCCCCTTGACAATTTTTGTCCATTTGTGTTCGACTCTAGGGGGCGGTGCTCATCCCTGTTTCCAAGCCATAGAGCCAGCGTTTTGTCCGAAGACAATCTTCCGTGGTCACATGGCCACGTAACGCTGTTACTAACGCTGTTACCTTCCCACCGAGGTGGTCCCTACAGTGGGGTCTCGACTTATGAACTTAATCCGTAATGGAAGGCAGTTCTCAGGTCGAAAAGTTCTTAAGTTGAATCTGCATTTCCCATAGGAATGCATTGAAAACCATTTAATCCGTATCTGCTCTTTTCGTCCATAGAAACTAATGGGAAGCTGCTATTCCACCTTCTGCCACTAGAGGGGGATATTTTTTCTTTTTTCCTTTTAACCTAAGATGACTTAGCTTAAAAAAAAAAGGAAAAAAAAGAGTTCGTAACTCGAATCTAAATTCGTAAGTCGAGTCCATTTATTCCTATGCGAGCAGTTCGTAAGTTGGAACGTTCGTATGTCGAGCCGTTCGTAAGTCGAGACCCCACTGTATTTATCTACTTGCATTTGCATGTTTTCGAATCGCTAGGTTGGCAGGAGCTGGGACAAGCAACGGGAGCTCACTCCGTCGCGTGGATTCGATCTTACGACTGCTTGGTCTTCTGACCCTGCAGCACAGGCTTCTGCGGTTTAGCCTGCAGCGCCATACTGGGTAATAAATAAATGGCTGTTGCTTAGCATAGTAAGTCACACAAGAACCAGCCTACTGAATCAGTGGGGATTTGGTGCATCAACTCTTCAATAGGTTCCATTGATTCCAATGGACCTATTCTTGTTTCAACTTATTTTAGCATAGTGAGTCACAATTAGAATAGGCCCACTGAAACAAAATTTTGCAAAAAGCTGACTCACCAAATCACTACCAATTCCACCAGCCTACTTTAGTGCAACTTACTATACTAAGCAACAGCATTTCAGTTACTATATTATAAACATATTAATCAAGGTGAACTTATTATTGGGGAAAAATTACCATAAATCACAGAAACAGTAGGAACTTGCCTTACAGTGGATCAGACTGTTGATCCATCCAAGTTGACACTAACTGATAGTCCAACCTAGAGACGCCTATATTTAAACCTGAGACCTTCTGCATGCAAAACGTGTGTTCTACCACTGAGACACATCTATTCCCCACTTTACTTGGGTGGGGCAAACACAGATGCTTAATCAGGGCAAGTGAAGTTGGGCAAAGTCAATTGGTTCAATTTTAACAGTGCCACATTGCAAAGAAACCGAGGGAATATGGGATATGGGATCCATCTTAGAATATGTCTAAGTAAAATAGCTTTCAGCTGCTGAAGGTCAGGATTTGCCTGGGAAACACCAAACACTTGATAGCTGAAAAATGATTTGGCACTAACCGCAGAATGGGCAGTTTGTACCCACCTGTAGTCAGCTCTTCTAGGCTAGATTGCTAGGGCTCACATGAAAAGATGTAAACCATTGGTTCAGAAGGCAGGAGTGGATGCCAGCTTCGAGAGCAGGCGGCACACATATCACAATATCTGCATTAGATTTCTGAGACCAATTTAATTTGCTTGTGGACAATGTATATGGATCCAGGTAGGTAAACATTTTTTGCCCCCCCGAAAATGCCTTCATAAACTTTCAGGGGAAAAGGAAACCTAATTGGCTGTGTGCAAAGAATCCTCTGGAATTGGGACCTTGGAGTGTAAAATTTACTTTAGTTGGCTTTGTTCCATTCTTAAGCTATGCTCAGCTGCTACCTTGTGATGATGTTCTAAAAGAGATGTATTCTGTGTATGTTCTGTATCACAACTATAGTATTAGATAGAGAAGCTAAGCTTATTTGACTATACTGTCCTGCTTTTTTTCAAACTTGTCTTACTCTAAATTGTGCCTCTTTGGTTACTTTTTCTACTGGTTTGGCTTTTTCCCTTTCCTTTGATACAAGTAATCTTTTCTCTATATAAGAACCTGGTTACTGAATTGAAGATTTGTGGCATTAAATTCTAATTTCTAGTATCTACTGGGATTTGTTTGGTGAACACATATTTGGTGGCAGTTTTAGTACCATGGAGGTGGCTGTGCACAACTGTGTTGATTTTGTTTCTTCAAAAACAGCAAAGCTGGAATGGAGAGAACTGATATTCCTGAAGGAGTTATGTAGCAAAGACCTCCTGGGTTCTCACACCCAAATTGGGTTCACATACACACTTGGAATAGACTGGATTAGGACCTCTGGATTCATTCACGCATCTCATCTCCAGGATTGCTCTCAAACATATGATCAAAAACATAGATTTGGATAAACGTTATCTTGATTATCATGGCTCAATAGTACTCATCCTAGCACTAGTTTGGGAAGCTAGCATGCAATCGGCTTCCATTGATTTCTCCTCATTTTGTCATGGATTTTATTTTGTTAAAGTGTTATCAATCTTCCAGATGTTGTTAGGGACCCTCTCAGCTGTCACTGCTCACTAGATTTTAACATTCTAATACAGAACTAGTCAACAGACTTCTAAATAAAGGGTATCACTCAGCGGGGAGGAACCCTATGTCCAGTGCCTGAAATAAATGAGCGTCAAAAAGGACACTTTCCTTGATTCATGCAGTTGCCCCGCAACCACGTAAGCCTAGGGAAAATAAAAGAATTAGAGGGCATGTGAAACATTTGTCCATTCTTAAATGTGTAATAGCATTGGTGCTAGTACACAGAAACAATCAGTCAATAACAGGAAAAGGAGAAAAGAATGATAGCCAGTCTTTCTAGTGCAAGAGAAAGACGGCATCAGTTTGGTTGCAGCTCATATAAATAGAACATCCACCATCAAATAATTCCTCCTGATTTCCCTCCAGGGATGGATAGCCATGGTTCCCTAGTCCTCTAACATCCACCTTGCAATGAGCTGCTTTAACTCTATACACCCACACAGTACCTCTAATTGTGCACTAAAATTCAGGCTGTCAAATAGCTCTGTTTCATAATGGAACTGGTAGATAGTCTTTATTTGTGCTCTATTTGGCACAAATTGCCAGGCATATGGTGTCTCATGTATCTGAACTGCATAAATTTGATCTACCTGACCCCGATTTTTAGGCTTTGAAAACAATTGCTTGTTGAAGAATGTAAAGAACATTTTATGTTGCAAAGTAATTTGTTTTGCTGCAACGTGGTGCGTATAGTTACTGAAAGCAAAAGGTAACAGAGAAGTCTTCATGCTGGGAGGAGGAAGAAGACAACTTTAGCCAACTAGAATCCAGTCAAAGAGAAACTCAGCAGAGCACTCTTATCTGGCACCACTACAGTATATTCATCCAGGGAAAGGATGGAAAGAAGAAAGTTGTACAGGCCATGAACAAAATGCAAAATCAGGATACTTTTATTGAACCACTAAAATACCCCTTAAAGTCTACCTTCAAGGTTTCCAGAACTTTTTCATCAAGCTTACTTAAAGTCTACCTTCAAGGTTTCCAGAACCTTTTCATCAAGCTGGGAATTGCACAGCTTGAGATGGGGAAGGGGAAAATATTTTAAAAAATCATCCTGGCCAGCTGCTACAGCCACAAGTTTTGAAGTTGATGGAATTTCTGATTCTGTAAACTTAAAGGAACAGTTTGAGGTAAGCTGGTATTAAGTTTCAATTCACAGGTTACAGCAGTGGTTCTCGACCTTGTAGGACATCTCCACTGCACACCTTGGGACCCACACAGTTGGGCAAACAGGTTGCCAACATACTATCAATTAGATGCAATCAGCTCTGGGTAGTTATGCAATCCACATAAGAACACCAATAGGATTTTGGCCATTGAGAAACATGGCTATCCCCATATCACAAAAGGTGGGAATTAATTTTAGATGAAGAAACCCTATCACCAGCTGAGAAGGACTACACCAGACCAAGAACTCAAAAGCTTGGCTTCTGGAGACATTTTTGTCATCCAGTAAAAGTATTAGCCAGCTCCAATTGAGTATATATCAATTCCTTTGTTGTAGAAGCAGAGAATGTGAAATGAAAAGTCTCCAGCTCGAATCACACCTCACCCACAATCTTATTAGAGGGCCTTATTCAAGCCTTGTAAAGGCCCTAACATCAGGCAGAGTGAGGAAACTGACTCACATAGCAGATGCTGATGGTCAGGAAGTAGCAATGGCAATTCCAGTCTCTTACTCCTGCAACCCCGAGATGGTCCCATCCTAGAGCCTTGGAATAATACATTAGCATGATTAATTGCTTATGCTTCATTAACATTTTCAAAATCTTTAAAATTTTGAAATTAGACAGAACAGTTTTATTTTTGAGTAACAAGTAATCATTCATGTTATTTCTATTAATTCCTAGTTCTTTTTAGTCATTTTATATTTTATATTGCATTTTAATTCAACAAATTACAATCATGGAAGCCACAGCAGCTAATTGATAAAGAGCTCACTGCATGTTGATTACATTCCTAGCATTAGCTTTCCTATTTTTCTTTTCACGTGCAATAATAAAAAAAAAGGATTCTGGCCTATGAATCAATTTTTCTTTAACTATTTTATGTCCACGTATTAGCACCAATTTCATGTTTCCAAAGCAACGCTCGTCCTCCCAATAAGCAGTGATGCCCACTTGTTGCTATATAATTTGTCTGGCTGACCTAATTAGCTCTGCCCAATGCATCAATGACACCATCGTTAGGATAGTATCTGATGGAGTGAGGAGGCAGAGAAGCAACCAGACAAGGCTACCTCCGCTAACAGACATCACATATGATCACATATGATAAATCATAGAAAGGGGCCTACAGGGCCATAAAGTCCAACCCCCAGGTGATTATCTAAGTTTTTCTTGAATGCCTCCAATTCCTAAGGTAACTGGGGATGTTTTTGTTCAGCAGTAGTACATATGTTTGAGTGGGAAGAAAACAGATGCCAGCCACCATAATATGGAGTGATTGGATAGAGATGCATGTATCATGTGGCCTGTTCTGAATCCCTTAAAGTGTCCTGCTAGGAGAGGATGCTTTGTCAGCCATGATGAAGTAAGTTTCACCTGCTTGTCCAGTCTCCTTAGCAAGAGACAAGGAACCGCAGAAGCACTAGAAGATCAGTGTAAGAGTAGAAGTTGAGCTTGGAAAGTTACAGTTAAAAAGAAATTCATTCCTGTTTGCTCATTACATGTTGGAAAAGTTATCCATTCTTGTTATTTATTACAATCATGAAAATGTAATTTCTTGTTACACTTTTTGGACTTTTTCCATTACCTTTCTGTTGATTTTAACAAAGGCACTTGGGATTCATATGACAATGACATAAACCTTTAAAAAGTCCTGTCATTATGATTCTCAAAACAACTTAAAAGGAGCTTTAAAAGTAACTAGAACACATAACCCATTGTTGTGTCTTACGTGCCATCAAGTAATATCTGATTTACAGTGACCCTAATAAGGTTTTCAAGGTGGCTTTTCCAGTTCCATCACTGCATTCCCATGAGTTTCCATAGCCAAGCAGGGATTCAAATCCAGGTCTTCTGAGTCCCAGCCCATTATTCTATCCATTACACCACATTGGTTATGACATCATAAGTAATCACATCAAGAAAAACAACAACAACCAAGCCATCTTGAAATTTGGCTCCTTACTATAATATCTTCATTAATTTCAAAATGTAAATGCTACAAGTAATTACTCTGCTTACAATTTCCTGTTTCTAGTCTGTGAATGGGATTATGAACAATAGCAGTGATCATCAGCTTGATCAGAATGAAGCCAAGAGCAAAATGTTTATATGAGATGGAAAGGATAAACTAGAGACTCCTAGTCAGACTTGTAGGAGCAGAACATATGGTTAACACACATCCTAGCAAAATAAAATAAAATAAAATAAAATGAAACCAGGCAAAACTAAGTAAGGAATTCAATTCTCAAAAAACCCAAACCCATACAAATTCTAGTTTATGAATGTGGGATATTGTGCTTCTGTACTCACAATTCAAAAAGCCATGAAATACCCCAATATAGCTTCACAATATTATGCCTGTACTGCCAGCAGGAAAAAGGATGCCAAGCTTTAGATCAGTGGTTCTTAACCTTGGGTAACCCAGGTGTTCTTGAACTTCAAGTCCCAGAAGCCCCAACCAGCATAGCTGGTGGCGAAGGCTTCTGGGAATTGCAGTCCAAGAACGCCTGGATTACCCAAGGTTAAGAACCACTGCTTTAGATAGCAAAGGGCAGCCTGAATGTTGGCAACACCAATGGCAGCAGTCAAGATGGTCTATGACAGTAGCCCCCAACTTTGGGCCTCCAGATGTTCTTGGACTTCAACTTCCATAAATCCTGACCAACACAGGTGGTGGTGAAGGCTTCTGGGAGTTGTAGTCCAAGAACATCTGGAGGCCCAGGGTTGAGGACCACTGGTCTATGGGGTACCCTCTTCTCCTCACTACTATTCACAAAATGATACTACACAAGAGAAAATCCCAGAAGCTGACTCCTTTTTTTCCCATCTGTTAACCACTTCTCACCCAAACACAAATCAATTGTCAGGGATGTTCTCCAACAAGTGAATTGTGACATTAATGCAGAAATCAAGTGAGTGGAAGACTGAGACAGAAGGTGGTTAGCCATTTCCTTCCCTATGCAGTTCCAGCACCACAACAGAGGTGACAATGGGAGCTCCTGGAAGAAGGCAAAAGAAGAGAGAATTGCTTCTTCTCCCTTTCTTCAAATGCCAGAGGAGTCTACTGAGTACAGGGTGAGATCTAGTTCATTGAATTTGAGATAACAATGGAGAATCTAACTTGGAAAACCTCGAAAATATTTGGCAAATCAGTTGAAGGTAGCAATTAACCTAGGGTAGAGAGTTAAAACTGGTTGTCCACAATGTATTGGTCAGGAGGACTGGAGAACAGGTAGGCCAGATGCAGCCCAGCCGTGAAGGTTCTCCATCTGATCTGCAAGCTTCTTCTGCTTGTAACTATGATATATGGTTAGAAGTAAGAAGGTATTATAGTTTAGAATACCTTACACAAAACTGGGCTGGGTTTTGCAGGCAGGAAAGCTTTTTCAATTCATTTCATACCTGAATAGGCTTGCAGCTTATACAGAACTGTGGTGTGCTTTATTCACTTTGTGGGGAAATGGCCAAATTTGTAAGAATTGTATCTGTCACTGTCTACTTTGCCTTGGCCCCCATTTATTTACTTGCCCAAGATTTATCCCGCCCAAGATTGGAATGCAGTCCTTAAAACCCCTTTTCACTCTCTGAACTAAAAAAAAACCCACTCCCATTATAGAGGATCCTGAAAATAATTGCTTTCTGGGTGCAGGAGAAAGGTGACATTCTTCAGATTTTACCAAGGATATGTGAATTGCTCCACAGCTAATCTATGCTACATCCTTTTATTATAGACTTTTTACCCTTCTGCTTAAATAGTTATACTAAGATCTTGGTCTTTCCACTGGAAGGCCAGTAGGGCACCTAAATGGCTTTGTGGGGAGGGAGGGGTCTAAAAGATCCTGCTTCTGCTCTGTGGAGTAAGATTAGGGGAATCCCTGGCATAAAGCCTCATTGTAATTGTTTGTAGCAAGGATTACACTGGGCCTTTTGCCTTTTTGACTGTTTCCGTCTCAGGAGGAGCATATGGTATATGAGATTTTCTTCCCTGTGACCCATCTGCCACCAACTCAACTAATTGCCGGCTTGCCTTTATCATCTACAGGAGCTCCCCAGGGTCCTGAAGTCTACGCAGAGAGAAATATTTGCTTTTTGCAATCGGGTAATTCAGTCGAGCTGATTTAATTCTCTTGAAATACCTGGTAAGCAGAATAAAATATATCTGAAATTGTCTAACTTGCAGTGTTTCTCTATTCAAAAGAAAGTTCCAGGGGGACTTACTCCGAGGTAATTGTGCATGGAATTCTAACCCTGACTTTTTTTGTAGATCAGAGATAGCCCAGCATTATACAAGCATTTTAAATGAAGTATTCTGGTTTGTTCAATTAATAATGAAATATTTTTAAATTGTAGAATATGTGCTTTCAATAATAAATTAAAACAACATTTTGCCTAATTTCCACATATATGCATATACTGTAATGTGTACTTAAGAAAAAAAAATAATTTGGTTTACATGTATAGATCAATGATAGCAATAACAGCTATGCACAAAATATTTCCATAGCAATTTCCATAGGTACAATGTTTTGATGTGTGAATAACAATGCTCCTTAAAAACCTTAAGCTTAATAATAAGGTTCATAAATTTATTTTGCACCACAAATACCATTCCGAAAGGTTTTGGCATTTCAATATACACTTAATACAGTTACCGTATTTTTCGCTCCATAAGACGCACCTTTCCATAAGACACACCAATTTTTTAGGAGAAGAAAACAGGAGAATATAATCTGTTTTCTTCGCTCCATAAGACGCACAGACTTTCCACCCCACTGTTTTGTGGGGGGAAAGTGCGTCTAAGGTGCGAAAAATACGGTAGCTAGATAGTGCATCTTATGGTGCGAAAAATACGGTAGCTAGATTGTGAAAACTAAATAAACAACTAAAAAGTTATTAATCCCATAAAGAGTTTTCCATGTGTTCACTTTGAAAATAGGTTATGGGCGAATAAGAAACAATACTTAGTATTTGCTCTCACTTAATTGGAAATCCTACCCTCAGCATTGCTTAAAGTGCTGTGTTCTGTTCCTTTAAATCCAAAAGCAAATATTATCTGCTGGTGTGCAAAATCCACTGTGTGGTATCTGTATGATGCAATTTTATACAGCTTCACATTGCCTTTTTTGCACCCTAAAAGATCAATAGCAGAAAATACTCGGAGACACTGCACTTTATCTCCCAATCATTGCTGCTTTGCCATAAATTTAGATCACTTGATGACTTGATGGATTTCTTCTTCTGCTTCTCCTTTATCATCATCATCATCATCATCTTACCACTACAAGTAAAATCATGAACAAATAGCATGCTTGGAAGAAGAAGGCCATTCATTACAGTTCTGTTATCTTTCATGGTTGTCAAATGTGCTCATACAGAAAGAGCCCTATAGTAAGAAGAGTCCATAATAGAACCTTTCAACCCCTAAATGTGTGAATGGCACAATAGTCTGCATACTGTTCATGAATTGCTTCTTGAAATCATTAGAAAAGTGCCCTGCTGCACTGTTAGAGTCGTGAGGATCCCCTGTAAGTTGACAAGTTGTG